ACTTTTATTTATTTACATATACATATATTTTTATTTTATTTTATTTTATCTTATCTTATTTTATTCTTTTATTCTATTTGTTTATTTTTATTTATTTATTTTTTGCTTTTTTTACTTTTTTTCAACCGTTTTGTATCTTTCATGTGGGTTCATCTACCACCGACCTCAATTAATTTGGGATAAAGGTGTTGTTGATGTTGATGTTGATGTTGATAAACATCACGGTTACGATATGATAGATCGAGATGTCCAATCAGAGATTGATATATTAATATAGGATCTGTTTGTCTTCTCTCAGGTACCTATGGGGGAAGTACCCTAGAGATCAGCGGATCATTGTGCACAATAAAAGAAACGACATAGTTAAGGCGTGGGGTGTGTGCACAGTGACAAACAAAGAGAGAAGGTAAACAAATCCTATATTAATATACCAATCTCTGATTGAACATCTCGATCTATCAGATCGTAACAATGACATTGGTAATGAGATCATAAAACTTAGTCAAAACTAATACCTAAAATTCTATAGAGCCGACAAAATTCCATGGTGCACAAATGAATGACAATAATATGTATACCAGTATATATTTCATTCAAATTAAGATGATGTTTAGGAGTTTATAATAACAAAAAAGGGTAATATAACTGTTATGTTGCATAATAGGATAATCCATTCCTACAGCGCCATCGATTTGCGAGCCTATTTTTTCTAATTATTATTTTTTACAAAAATGGTGGGACCCGCAAAAATATGTTTGTGCAGGAAAATCCAATTGCATTCTGTTACTTGAGAAAACTAAATCCCATAAAAAAATGCATGAGTTATTTACAGAACTCTCATTAATCCAAAACATCAAAAGACCTTAAAGTCCCATATTAGAATACAAAGATCACAAGTCAAAGTCCTTTGGTCAAAGGGATCATCTAACATCAAGCTATTATCTCTATGTTTAATTATTAATGTTTTCTTTCTTCACAATATCTCTAGCAAACAAATATTCCAAATCCAGAAGCTTAGATCCTATGTTACATCGACACCAATATGGGACACGAGATACGACACGATACGATACTTCGACACGTTAATTTTAAAATGTGTTAAATTTTGACATGTTAGGACACGTTTTGATATTCAATAATATTTTTAATTTATATAGTATATATTATATTTAATATTCAACAATTTAACAAAAAAATAAAGCTAAACTTATAATACTCATCAATTTTGCAAAGAAACATAAGATATTCCAAATATTTATATTAAACTCAATAAAATGGTAATCAAAATTCAACGAATAACGCAACGCAATCTTTAAACCCTTTTTTGAGTCTTTGCAACAAGTATTGGAGTGTTGAGGAGTGTCGGAAAGTGTCGAACACGATACGTCATGATTTTTGAAGTGGCAGAGCTTCATAGCTTAGATCCACTAGAAATTTTATTGTTATTATAAAAGAACATGGTAGCAATATTTTATGTATATATATATATATATATATATATATATATATATAAGGTAAGATCCTTTGACACCAGTGTCAAATTTCAAATTTGACACCTCATTTGAGAGTGTTAGATAAAAAAAGATCAACGACTCTGATTTGCAAGCATGTGACACCATTGATCTTTTTTTATCTAACAGCTATCAAATGAGGTGTCAAATTTGAAATTTGACACTGGTGTTAAAGAATCCTATATATATATATATATATATATAAAGGGTTTTATTTGCAAACTAAATTGTTTACAAACTCTTACAATCAAATTTTAACCGTTAATTCCCGTCAATCTAACTGTAATAATTTATTGGAAATTAATAGGTGTGACCTAATAAATTATAACCATTAGATTGACAAATTTCAACAATTAAAATTTGGTTGTAAGAGTTTGTAAATAATTTAGTTTGTAAATATACCCCTTTTCATATATATATATGAGGTAGAATATTCTTACTACCAAATGTTACTACTACCAATTTACTACCACTTTTTAATTGTTAGATCCCACTTTTCAACAGATAATCTCTAAAAAAAACTTTGAAGAGAAAGGGAGAGAGAGAGAGAGAGAATAGTTTTTGATGTACTACTGGTAGTACATAGTTATATTAGATTGATAGTAAATCAGTAGTAGGAACATTTGATAAGAATATATATATATATATATTTAGGGGCAAGATCCTTTGACATTACTGTCAAATTATATCTGAAGGCCGTTAGATTAAGATAAATCAACGGTATCATATACTTATAAATTAGAGTCGTTAGATCAAGACAAAATCAACGACTCTAAAATCAAGTGTCAATTTTTTCTTTTAATATCGATACGGGCCACACCCTCACGTTTTTTACTCATGCGGCTGTTGAGAGCTCTAAAGCACGAATACGCAACTTTTCAAAAAATTGTGTGTCGGACACGTGTCCGACACGGACACGCTCGGACACGCGTCCGACACACAGTCAATATTTGGGGACACGCGGTCAACTCTCGGACACGTTCCGACACGTTTTTCCGACACGCAGTCAACTTTTTCCTACACGCGGTCAACGCTCGGATACGTTTTTTGTTTTTAAATCTTAATTTTATTTTGTTAACTAAATATAAAAGAAATAATTTATAAATTAATTTTTTTCTGTTATGAAATTTGACATGAAAAATTAACAAAGTACGAAAACTTATTTATATTTATGTTATGAAATTTAAATATGTGATTGGTTATATGACTTACTATGGACTCTTATATGTATTAAATATAAATGATATTATATATATTAAATTTTTTATTTAATATCAAAACGTGTCCCAACGTGTTAAAATATGACATTTTTTAGAATTAACGTGTCGGCGTGTTGTGTTGTGTCGTGTCCCGTGTCCATGCATCATAGGTTGAGAGCATATGCATATAGCAATATCCTAGACTACACCCACACAATCATGACCTTAACTCATTTACAAAAGTCTGTTTTCAACAATTAAAAATAAAAAATTCGAGACTTGTCCCTCTACTTGTAAAAATTAGAAATCTGTCCCAGTTCTTAAACAGCCAATAAGGGATGTTATAATCTCTTCACCTTTTAAAATTTGTATCCCCAAAATTAAGAAAAATCATCTGTCTACTGTAAGTTGTGCATACTCAGAATCTTTCTGTTTAAAATATGCTTGAAAGTAGGAATGTCTTCATAGTCTAACCTATCCCACAATTACTAACCTACAAACTAGCAAATTATGAAATATGTATGCTTGGAATATTTTAATTCTACAGAATCAAATATACTATTCAGATTTCCACAATCTCAGACCATGCACGTAAAATAAAATTACCACTATTAGCTAAAACTATGAAATTTTTTAACTTGTCCATTGGACCCATGATTCAGCCACATTGGTCTAAGTCAAAACATTCACACCACAAAATCCAGAATCCCAAATTTTGATTTCATGTTCTACAGGGATGCAATATAGTAAATGAATTTACATAAAATCTCTACTACAATTTAACCAAGGATGGAAAGCACACATGCAAGGTTCATTCTTAATCAGTACCTCACTCTCTAAATTCTTCGTCAATTCTATTGGTACGATGGTAGGTAAGGATGGGAAGCACACAAACTTTAACGTCTAAATACCTTGTGGTATGATTTTATTATTATTATTATTGGAGACAGGTACTAAATCAACCTAAGTAAGTGAAAAACTTAATCACCAAGTAGACTTAATAGCCGAAACAAAATACTCTTGATTAACACAGTTCCAATTCAGCCAAGTAAGAATTTATACACAGCACTAGAAATGACCAAGATGTAGTACTGTAAAGAAGATTCCTAGAATAAGGGTAACAGTACAATCTAGTCAATGAATCAAGTTTATCAATGTAACCATAATTCTTTATTGCAGATCAGTATATTTTTAATAAAAGAAATTACTTCTGAAACATGTCAAAAATGGTAATTGAGATAATTAAGTAGCTCATGGCTGTACCAACAAAAGGACAGTCAACATGTCAGTTCTTTAAATCAATTCCAATAATTGCTACAGAAATAGTATTAGAGCTAGGGAAATTTTAACAATACAAGTTACAATTGCATTAATAATCATTGCAATTAGGACATCCACCAAGTCACCAGCACAATTAGGTATTTCTTATGAAGATAGCTTCCTTCTCACTAACCTTGCATTTGATGCAATAATTGAGAAGTACTTTTAGTACTGTCTCTATGTGAAAATCAATGTATCTGTGCAAAATTACTGAAAAGAACATGGATCTCCCCAAAAATAAATATACTTTCAGTATAAAGCTGGGATAAAAACATTTCTGTACATATTATAATTTTAAATTACAAATATAAAATATATACTTCACATTCATTAGTTTGTAATACTCCTATATCACTTAGAGATGCATTTTCAAAGGTAGAGAAATGTTTCTGTTCCTTCCAATGGGAAGGTGCAGCCTCAAGTCAGTAGAGTTGTTGCAGCTACGGAGTCTGAGAAAGTTAGGGCCTCTTTGATATGATGTATAAGGCTTGACAGTATAAGCTTATACTATATGTTATGATATTTTCAATTGTTTGATGTGACCATCGTATAATATAAGCTTATACAACAAAATCCCTTAATACATCAAAATGATGTATAACTTAATCAGGCCTAAAGAGGTGGGATTAGGCCTGATAAGAGATTGATGTATTAATATTGCTTACAAGTACAATTCTCAAGAACTAATATATCATTTCAATATTAATATATCAAAATAATTTTTTTTAATATATTAATTTTTATAATATTGGAGGCTATTATCTTATATAATACCATATCAAATGTTGGATAGTATTAAAATTTAATCAGGTCTTATACAATCAGGTCTTATACTATCAGGCCTTACACTATCAGGCCTTACACTATACTATGCACCAAACATGCCGTGTATAAGCAGCAAAGCATACAACCAAATTGGCAGAGGCCACCAAGACCATAAATGATCTATAAGAAAATTCATAAAGGACCATTTACATTGAACATGTCGTACATTTTGTTTACATTATTGAATGTAAGTGACATACATTGGTTCTATTTACAACCAAATGCGACATATGAGAACAGAAAGACTTTGACAAACTAAGAGAATAAAAACAATAGTGATCCCAAACTAAAAGGAGCCGGAACATATTAATTCAACTAGACCAACTTGTAGTAACAGTTGTTTTCAGATAGAAGAACCTCATAGCCTTTGCCACATGGACACTTAAAAGTAAGGCTTACGCACTTGTCAGCCCATTCTACACTAACAGCTTCTTCAGAATCTCTTCCCAACTCATCCTGCAAAAAAAAATATGGATTAAGCATAAAATAGCAATTTGTCTAAGTTGTTATAAAACCTTCTATCCAAAAAAAAATTGAAGGCTTTAAGAACCATATACATTGAAGATGAAATGTAACACCCTCTGACCCCACACTTTAAGAAAATATTTAAATTGATCTATTAGTAAGAATTTTGTCCGTAAAATTTGAGAGAAATACTTGTTTCAAAGTAGTAACAGATGCAAATTAACAGCTATACTAACCAGATTCAATTTCAAGCATAGTTAACTAGTCTTTGACGGTACTAGTTTAGCATTATACATCTATAGCTAGGTTAAACTCAACATTACATAACTACACATTATAATATTTCATTAATCACACAAACATTCTTAATTCACTGTACGTCCACACAGAATACCAACTCACAGCAAAGACCCCCCCCCCCCCCCCCCCCTCTTTCCTTTTCATCCGGCCTATCACACTAATAAAAATTCCCTCCTATGATAATTTTAATTTAAGGACTAATTCACTTTCATTATAAGGATAATAGCTCACCTCTTCTGGTTTAGAAGGAGTCGAGGCAGAGTAAAAATTCAGATTTATAAAACAGACTTCATCATTCTATATAGACATCCCTTCATGGGGTTTATCCTCATAAATCAACTTTATTTGTCCACCAAACTCCAGGGACGGACATACATGTACTCATCCAAACAGAAATTGAATTAGAACCAGTATAGGTTGTTAACTTCTTACTTATTTTAACCATCATGTCATAAATGCAAAGAATTTTTTGACAGAAATTTTTTGACAGAAATTTAGTTCTGTCAAAAAACAAAAACAAAAACAAAAAAGAACTTCAAGCAAATAATTTAACCATCATGTCCATGAATGCGTAGTGTTGGCCCTTTTGCCACAGAGGTACTCAAACCATCAAAGAATAGAATATTAACTCAATTTCACACAATTGGTACAAAATTTTCATAAACAGAACATTTGCATGATCCATTTACAGCCTTTAATGCCAACTACTAACGAATTTCACATGTTGCAAGCAAATAAAAAAAAATTAGAATCCACTTCCAATAGCACCTCACACACACACACACACACACACACATATATATATAATGCCTTTACACATGTGGAAAAGCAAATTGTCATGTTATAACAAGTCCAATAGTTGTACATACTTTGAAAAGTCCAATGAAAGAATTTATACAAAAATTAAATCCCATGTTCTTTCTCATTATAGGGAATCTAGAGTCCCCAAAGAAGTTCTTTGAACTCTTTCTTTCAATATTAGGCTCATGACAAAAAATAAATAAAAAAATTTCAACTTATTCATATCTCTAAATTACTTCAACCATTAATCTACTCAGCTCTTGAAGACTCTTGGGTATTATTCACAACCTTCTAGTCATATATTTCAATCTGCCCATTGTTTATAGTTATTTCCCAGGCTTAAGAGGATCCTATTAAAAAACTCCCTTTCTTCATAATAAAGAATATCCCTCAAACAGAAGCCATATATGCTGCAGAATTAAGCCTCCTAGTGTCATGGACTACAAATTCTCAACACTTCTATGAGTTCTCTACTTTCCAACCCCATATAGAGCGGGGCGAACCAGAGCAGTGGTAAAACTGCTCTTTCATGACTAAAAAATCTAGGAAACAGTTTTTTTGCAATTATGTAAGGGTAAGACCGCGTACAAGAATTACCTCCGCTCAACATTCGCTAGTCGGGTTTAACGGGGAGTGATTTTTTTTTTTTATCATGAAAAAAATATATCTTAACTCATAACACCTACTGAATGGGAGGTGCACGAAAATTGGGTGATTTACTTTTTGCATATTTCAGATCTTACATTCATCAACTTACTAGACTAAGCACAAACATTTACATGGTATAATAATCTTATTTTATTTTCTTTATTATCTTAGACCCTAGTGAGAACCCATTTAGAGGTCAAAGAAGTTTACTACTCCCAATTCGCTAGCATCAACTCAAAAGCATAGAGGCAATTATACTCTACTATACAACGTAACAACAACAAAAGGAATTTGTCATCTTGCATATAAAATAACCTTATCAATCTTAAATCATACTAGATTAAACTTGGACAGAAGGGAAGAATCAAGAATTGAATTTTTCAGTGCAGTCTTTTATCTTTGCATAGAAGCACAAATCATTCCCACAAAATACGAGTATAACAAGTCAGCAATGTAAAGTCAAGTTAGACATTTAATTGCTCATATAGGAGAGATTTGGAGGATAGTCCCCTACAGTATGTCAAGAAGTGCCAAAATTAAGACAGAATAACAATGTGGATTCTATATAAGATTTCACTATGAGTTCAGATATTTGAATCAAACTGAACTAGAGATGATACTTATTTACGAGACCACTAATATTTTAAAAGGTTTGACACTACAAATTAGATTCTAATTAAGGCAGAGGAAAGATAAAGCTGGCACAAATCAAAATCTCATATAAAAAAGGTAAAACAAACAGACTTAACAAACCCACTCTTAAATTTTCAAGTTTGAATTACAAAATAAAATAAAAAAGTTCCATTCAACAGTACCAAACATAATGTATTTGGCAGAGCAGAAATATCAAATCAAATATAATAACAATTTTACAAACAGTGAGGGCAGATTCAACTACAGAAGCGAATACCAATCGAAATATAACTAACACTCAAGAATCAACACAATCAACATGTCATAATACCAAAAACAATCCGAGGCAGATATATCCAAAGAGAAATAAAATAAGAGCTAAATTTAAAAGGCAAAATTTCAAGAATATCTCCGAGGTTCAGAATTGGTCAAACTTGTATTCGAAATTACTATATCACAATTACTATACAAACAGGTATCAGGTATGTGTTAAGTAATTCACAACTCAACACGGTAGGGTTTAAATGAAAATACTTCAAATCTATGTGGTATCGATACCGACACGGGACACGTGACACGACACGACACGATACTCCGACACGTTAATTCTAAAAAATGTTAGATTTCGACACGTTAGGACACGTTTTGATATTAAATAATATCTTTAATTTATGTAGTGTATATTATATTTAATATTCAATAATTTAACAAAAAAATAAAGTTAAACTCATAATACCAATCAATTTTGCAAAGAAACATAAGATATCCCAAATATTTATATTAAACTTAATAAAATGGTAATCGTAATCTAACGAATCTAATAGTTGGAGCTAAAAACGTAACGCAACGCAACCTTTGAACCATTTTTTGAGTTTCTACATTGCGTTTTGGAGTGTCAGAGTGTCAAAGAGTGTCGGGAAGTGTCGGACACGACACGTCAGGATTTTTGAAGTGTCGGTGCTTCATAGCTTCAAATGCCAAAATTTCCACGTATTAGAAATCTTACAGATTTTTTATTTTTATTTTTACAAAGAAAAGATGATTGGACAGATCTTATGGGCAATATCAAACAATCTAGGAATTAGTTACTCCAACTAATCATCAAGATAGCTGTTCAAATTGAATTCAGTTCAGTTTGACTAATACAAGTCAGTTTTGTCAACGAGTATGAACAAAGCGGTGAATCAGTGGGCAACTCAATTTTCCTCATTAAGCAAAAATGAATCATACAATCAACAGATATCTGATTTAGATAAAACCAATCCAGGAAACAGTGTATATATCAGTTATAATTGCTTAGGTAACATATGTTTACTTATACATAATAGACTTAGAATTTAGTTAAAGAAGCTACACTTTTAAATTTTAACTTCTACATACCACAGTGTGGTCAGATGATTTGGATCACAACCCAGCTCGACAAGGGACAATCAATTTTGTACTATCATCGAGATAAAACTCAAACCAATAGTGATAACTTCTGAATTAATATAATAGGCACATACAGATAACTTCTACATAATATATTCAGTCTTACTGATTCAGAATTATATATACAGGAAAAATTCAGTATCAAAACCAATTGTCAGCAATTTGGAATATATGAGAATGTTGAGATATATTAAACCATTAATGTAGCCTCACCCAACAGCTTAAGCTTTTGGGTTGAATTGGTTCTTTACATGGTATCAGAGCCTCGTGTCCCGGGTTCGATCCTCGTCGCCCCCCACTTTCTTTTAAGTGGAATTTCTTTGTTCGCATAGGTAGGTGGACCTGTGCATTATCCACCCTTCAAGCCCAGTGGGCTCTCGTGTGAGGGGGCGTGTTGAGATATATTAAACCATTAATGTAGCCTCACCCAACAGCTTAAGCTTTTGGGTTGAATTGGTTCTTTACAGAGAATTTGTCCCTTTAGCATCAGGAATTCTCACAGGTAAAATTTTGTTTTGGATTGGGAAAATAGCAAGTAAAATTATGCAGTTTACTACTCCAGACAAATGTAACCAGATGAGTCAAATCAAAATTAATATGAACAAACACTCATCATATAATGATATCACTGATTATCCTAGTTCTTATGCTACAAAAATACGATGTAGTAAAGCAGACTTTCAAAAGTGATGAAATACGACAAGGAATCCAAAAAGAAAAGGTCTGCCTCAATTCTCGCTTGAAATAAAGCAAAGTTGAATATGCAGGAATCTAAACACAGTCTTTGATAGGCAATGGGAACCTGGTGACATAACTCACTACTTTCCCTTTAATCAAGACCCTATACCTATTGGATACTCCAGGCTTCAAGACTTGAAATCACAGCCTCAAGTTAAGCCAAAACTGCTCAAATACCTTGGTTGAAGTTCACTCGAAAAGACAATAACAATCAATACACCATTTGGTTCATGAAGAAAAAGAATCATACAATTAATAGAAAGGATAGAGTGCACCTTATTTGTGCGAGTACTACAACATTAGCAACTCAAAAAAAAAGTAAAAATATAAAAAAATAAAGGAAATAATGTAAATTATCCAATAACCCAAGGGTTTGGCAGTCACTTCACTATCGATTTATGCACGAATTTTCCATAACACAAGGCAAACATACACACCTGAGATTGAACTTTATTATCTTCAGCAACTGCGAACTCGTCTTCTTTTTCATCCTCATCTTTCATAGCTTCATCCCACCATTGCCTCATCTCTCTCAAACGCTCCTTCATCCTTTTCAGTCTCTGCAAGCACACCCCAAAAAAAAAGGAAAAAAAAGAAGAAGTAAGAAAAACAACAAAACAAAGAAAACCCGTGATTCCAAACCCAAAAAAGATTAAATTTTTTCCAAGAACTCGTGCATGTTCCATAATCCTCCATACCATTGAATCACGAGTGATATCAGACGAGCTTCTTCCGAAGACCGGAGGCAGAGGAGGCAAACCATACCCTCTCGGCGGCGGCGTGGCTTGCTCCGGTAAGTCCGCCGGCGGTCTGTGGGGGTCGGAAGAGCAGCGACGAAGAACAGGGCGCGACGGAGTTTTGTCGGCGAAGGTGCCGAGGCTGACAGGAAGTGAAATGGCGGAGAAGCCATGAAGGGTGAGATCCTCTTGATCGAAGAAGAGCTTCTTGGCGCTTCTTGGTTCGCCGGAGGAAGAGGACGAGGGTGATCGGCGCTTCATCGAGTTGTTGTTGTTGGCGGCGGCGGCGGCGCATGGTGGCTGGCGGTTGTTGAAGCTGTTGAGACGCAGCATGGAGAAGCGGTCAGTGGGCTCCACCATTGAATGATCTTGTTCTTGGCTCTGATATTCATCCATTGTTGTTGGAGATTTTTGCAATAATGGTGTTGGATAAATTGCAACAATGGGTTCTTGTTGACTCTGAATGTGTACTTCACCCATTCTTGAACCTTTTCTTTAGCTCTTCTTCTTCTTCTTTTCTTTTTCGGGTTTAGTTTCTCTGAGAATTCTGGTTCTCTAATAATAGCGTGTAAGTGTGCATAAAAAGAAGAAGAAGTGTGTTAAGTGTCAACATGCATGTATAATATATTTATTTTAAAAATGAACTCGGTTGAAAAAAAAAAAAAAATATTATAATTCTAAAATAAATTATAATTATAAAAAAATTGTAATTTTTATTATTTTGAACTTAATTTAGATAATTAATTTATTTATATTAATTGTAGAAAAAGTGAACACATAATTTACAAATATAAAAAAAAGAAAAATATTATAGTTGGAATTGGATAAAGTAGGTCCCACATAATGTCTGTGGACCATATATCGTAATAACATTTTCAAACACAACATAAACCAAAGAACTAAATAATTAAGGGAAAAAAAAAATATTTCACTAACCACAAACATATCCCGATAATTATCAGCCATGGAGAGATCATTTAAAAAAATATTATATATGATTTTATTATATGGAAATTTAATATTTAATTATTTATTTAACATTCACAAATTTTAATAAGATTTATTTTTTTTAATATTACAAAAGGATAAAGACAAATTTTTCATATATTGAAATAATGTAAAATCTGCCTACCAAAAAAAAAAATCATGTAAATTGTTGATAGCAAAATCAGTGACGGAGCCAGAAAAATTAGAAAGTCAGTGCCATAAATCAGCCAATCATGCAGGAAACCAACTCCTACGAAGGAAGCAAACTACTTATAGCTACTGACGATAAAAGAAAACCTTTAATTTTGGAAACTAGTCAGCGCCAACACACTTTGATGTGAAAATTCAAGTTGGAGTCTTGTAAGACTTTGACATGCAGATTTCATAGGCATCATGGAAACTGGAAGATTTCACTCTATTTCAAAATTCTGCGTCATTTCTTATCATGTATATATTCACTAAGGTGCTCTTTGATAGAGGTCTTTGTCCTAAATACTTACACAAATTAAATTGGGATTTGAAGATGGCAATGTTTGGTAAAAGACTCAAAAAAATTATGCTATGCAAATTGATTAACCATGCAAAATGCAATGTAATTTGTGTGAAAAATTGCAACGAAAACATTAAAAAACCACATTGTAGGTGGTGATTGGTGTTTAGCTAGGAAAGAAAAAGAGAGCGTGAATATTTTGTCCAAAATGACCCTCTGATTACCTTTCTACTCGTACGTATGCAAAGAAAGCTAATTTGCAGAGGAATCACACATCATCGTCTACAATGAAAGCTAATATGCATCTATCTCTCTTTCTCTACTTTGATCATTATTTCCTTTAAATTAAAACAGCAAAATAAGATAAATTTTGAAGAAACAGGTCTGCAAATGAACATGGCGAGTCACAACTCAAGGTCAATGGTGGGAAAAGAGACGAGTTGCAGCTCCTCCTCCTCAAGCCATTAAAGTGTTCATGGAAGTGTTTAGGGCAGATAGATTTTCAACCATGGAAACAAGAAAATGAACGTTGTTGATTTTTTTTTCAGTTTCAAAATTTAAAATGTCCACTTTCGTGGTTTACGCCAATTATCCCATCAATATTTTACTTTTTACCAAACAGACCTTAAAAACTTAAATTAATTTTTTCGGTAAAATTTGACTGTACCAAACAACTTTTTTTAATCTTTCCCATCAAACTTGTTTTCATACAATATTCCTAGTTATTACGTTTTCCTGATAAAAAAAATTTATCCAAGTGCCGGTAAGTGAGTAGCCACTCCTTTTAAGTGTTGCTCATGCTGTGAGGTTTTGCTTTTATTGGTCTCATGTCTAGTGTTTTTCAATTGCACCTGGGGCCCTAGCTAGTGCTTTAGCAGCTAAGGCTACTAAGAGTGGTTTTCTCTGGGGAGTTTCGTTGGGTGCCATTGTTGGGGCTATACTCTCAGTGGAGGTGTTGGAAGCCTCCAGTGCCTACTGGTGTATGGAGCAAGCAAAGAACGAAAGAAGAAGAATCAAAGAATAGGAACGAAGAAGAAAAATAAAGGGTTAATTTAATCATAAAAACTGTGCCAAATATTCCCACATGGTGAGAATCTCAAAATATCACTACTACTCAATTGGTATTTTTACATGGGATTAGGCATCACAAATCGGAACCCTGAGAATTTGATTTTCTTGAAAAAAAAATTACAATTCTTATACCAAACTTGAGTAAATTAAATTCTCAATTTCATTTTGTGAGTACTCTAAAATTTTTCCTTTTATCAAACGCAAGAAAAATTATCTTCCTTTCTGAATCAAGCAAACCAGAAATTTATTTTTTATGATTGATAACAAATTTATTGGGTTTGATGCTCTACCTTTTTAAACTATTGGCTCCTGCATTTTGTGATTATATATAGGGAATAATAATTTTATGTAACAAGAGATGTTTTCTCTCATGCTCTAGAGTAGGGGTGTTCATCAACTGATACAAACCGAGGTGATCCAACCGAAAAATCGAAAATCGAATAAATTGAAAATCGAAAAATCAAAAACCGAAAAAAACCCGTAAATTTTAATTAGATTGGATCGGTTTTTGAATTAGTAGATGAAAATCGATCCAATCCAAATCGACCAAATATATTAATTTCTCTCTACCTACTTTGGTCTTTTCCCAATCATAGCCTAAAAATTTCTAAATCCAAGACCCATTAACCCATCAACTAAACCCAATAAAAAACCTAGTCACATCTCATTAACAAAATTTCATCTATGTAGAGCTTCATATCGCATTGTCTAAAAAAAAACTATATTATCATTTACTGCTTTTGTATTTTAATTTTTTTTTACAAAATCAATATATACAAAAGATGTTATTTGCACAATAATAATGAAACTTTTTTAAGATTTTCAAAAAACTGAAAACCGATCCAATCCAAACCGAAAAAAATTGGATTGGATCAGATCGAATTTGAAAAAAAATTCAAACCGAATGGATGATTGCATGATCAAATCGAAAGGATTGGATCAGATGATTTTTGCTTTCAAAACTGATTCAATCCAGATCGCGAACACCCCTACTCTAGAGACATTCTTGTAGGATTCACTTTTTTTTTTTTAGAAAAAGAAAGAAAGAAAATGTTGGCACAATTGTTGAAGTATATATACGCACGAAGGGAGAAAATTTCTTGTAACTGGAGATTAGTTAAGCAATATATATATACATGGAAAATGATCTGTTTATAATTTCTTTTTTTAAATTACACTAAGTATGACTGGTCATACACTCTTGATTGAAGTATGACCGGTCATACTTAATGTAGTTTGTAAGAATTTGTAAACAAAAAAGTTTGTAAATATAACTTACCCCGTATATATAAATATATATATATGGGGTAGGTTATATTTACAAACTTTTTTGTTTACAAACTACATTATCTTCTCCCGGGAGAACACTATGTTTCACTATGTTCTCCCAAGAGAAGATAGTATAATTTGTAAAAATTTATCAAAAAAATTTGTAAACGAATCCTTTCTTTTTTATATATATATATATATATATATATATATATATATATATATATATATATATCACTTAATCAAAAATTGAGTGGTGGACTCAAAAATTTGAGCTCCTGAACTAAATTTTTTTATTGTTAATTTTAATACGTGAGTATCAAGGAAGAATAAAGTCCTGATTTCTTACGTTTCTTTTGTAAGTTGCAAAATATGCTCTCCTTTTGTTAGGTGAAGAGATCAGCATGTGCGTAAGCTGGAGTTCTACTGGTATACGTAGGAGACCAATGGTGTTAGAAGATTTTGCCACATAGTTTAATGAGTTAGTAGTTGGCGGTATGTGTAAGCTCGTGAATAATTAATCGTATTAGGGAACTGATGTATAAAAGAGAGAAAGATGTAACATGTTTTGATCAAATTCATTCTCTTTTGTTCCTCTTTTGTTACCTCTCTTAGGGTCAATATCCTAACACCTTTCTTCCTCACCAATATAGTATATTAGGTACAACCAATTAAAATTTCAAGAAAACATAAAAATAATTTTAGCAAGGGCTTTATTCATTTTCTAATATATTTTAAGTTTTTTTCTTTCTTGGTAGACATATATCTTAAGTTTTTAATTAATTGTGCCTAATAGTATGTGCAAAAATCCTTTTTCTTTTCTTGGTTCATGGGCTTAGAACCTTCAAGAACCACCAGAGAAGAAAATAATGAACTTTTCAATAAGAAAAAGAAAGGATGATGTAGAAAATTTAAGAAGGTCGTTGGAATGGAGCCTAACCAGTGTTTTTGGCGCTGAGCCCATGATAGAACGGGGGTGATATTTTGGGCTTAAATAATCTATAAATTGACCTTAAAAGATTGAGAGTGAAAATATAATTTGGACAATTAAAATCTATGTTACATTGATACAGACACAAGACATGATACAACACGATATTCTCACATGTTAATTTTAGAAATTATTAGAGTTTGAAACTTTTTAATATTAAATAATATTTTTAATTTATGTAGTGTATATTATATTTAATATTTAATAATTTAATAAAAAAGGAAACTAAACTTATAATACCATAAGATGTAAATATTTACTATTATATTTTCAAATTGAAAATCTCTTATACACTTCAGTGAAATTTATTTAGTATCCACTTTTAAATTTTATTATATCAGTTTGGTAAAATATCAATTAATTTTTCATAATATATAATGAAATTTCAAATATTATAAATGTTGGAACGTGTCAGAATATCGAGGAATATCGAGAAATGTCAACGTGTCGGGGAAATGTTGGACACAACACATCAGATATTTTAACACATCGGTGAAAGATAGGTTATGCTCACATCCATTTATGGTGAAGTGGAATTGCAATTTCATCAATTTTATGATGTAATATCTATTTTTATAATAGTAGGAATGGTCATTTTCATCCCAATTATCCAACCAAGCATGGGAAGAACGAGAATCACTCACTCCTATTTTGGTTCTATTTCATTCCTTGAAATAAACAAGACTTTAGAGGAGTTCCACAGCAACTTGAAAACTTTTTTTTATTTTTAGAGTTTTCCTCGAAAATTTTATAGGTTCCATATGAATTAATCTGGAGTTCGGAATGAGTCCTGGATAAGACTTTAAACCGCACTAAAAAAATGATATCGAATAAAATCGAATATATGCTTTCACCCCGCCTACTTAGTTCTCAAGATTTTAAAATAAGTTCTAAGCCTTTACACAACTTGGAGCTTAAACTACTTTTAAGTTCATGTTTGAATTTAATTAAAAAAATACTTTTCCTTTTTCAAAATTTCTCTCAACAAAGTCACTAGGTTTGGTCTAATAATGAAAAATTTGAGTAGGTTGTATTAGGTTATTTGTTCAATTATCACTTGTATAAAAAAAAATAAAATTCTCTCAACAAAATTTTAATTATAAGAAGCTTTGAATGTGTTCGAATTAACATATTTTATGTTCAATTTTTTTTAATTATAAGTAATTTTGATTTTGTGTTCAAAATTACTTATAACCAAAAATTTATGAAGCTTGTATTTAAAAAAATATATTTATGAAGCTCTAAAAAAGAAACGATTTTTTGATAAAAAGAATCAAATCCGAAAATTAATATTGATTTTTTTACCAAAATTAAATCTCTTATCTATATTTTCATACGATAAAATTATCTTGAGAAATTATTATTAATATTATTAAATACATATTAACATTTAAAAGAAAATTATTGAACGTTGAAAGTTGAAACTAGAAACAGTCTATGTTGACTTTTAAGACAAAAATGGTACGATTAATGGAGAGATTAAGAGAATACAAAATATTTAAATAAAAGTAATACATATCACAAAATTGGGGACGGTTATACTTACCACCAGGTAAGTTTATCACCAATCTCCTAACCATTGGATTAAAATTAAATCCAACGATTCATAATTATCTCTTATAACCTTAATTTTTACTCTCTCTCATCCTCTTTCTCTGGGTTTGAGATTTGCACCCCTCTCTCTAAATTCTTTGAAGCTCGTGGCTGCCAGTGATGATGCAAAACAGTTTTTAATCTAGGTTTGGGATTCGTAATTTCAATCCATCATCTTCACAGTCAATGATGGAAGAACTTCCGCCCATTCGTAAAAAAAAATTCATGTCAATTTGGGATTAAAACTTAGGTTTAGGATTCATAATTTCAATCCATTCGTAAATTTTAACCTAGGTTACAAAAATTTTAATCCTTCACGGTCAATTTCCTTCGCAGCTAATCCATTGTCAAGGAAATTTTAATCTAAGATGCGAAAGAGAGAGATAAAATTTTTACTCTCCCATCCCTTCTCTGTCTTTCTCTCTCTCTAGGTTTGGAATTTGAGAAAGAGAGAGATTAAAATTGTGCAACTAATCCATTGTTTCAAAACTGTGTTTATGAGGATTAAAATTCTTTTTTTTTTTTCATTTTTTCTTTTATCTTAGATGTGAAAGAGAGAGATAAACACAGATTGAGTTGCGTTGTGTTCGTCGTTCCTGAGATTTATGTGATTTCGAAGAGCGATCAAGAGTGAAGAGAAGAATTTGGAGAGAGAAGCTTGCAAATGTTGTGTTCGTTCCTGAGATTTATGTGATTCCGAAGAGCGATCAAGAGTGAAGAGAAGAATTTGGAGAGAGAAGCTTGCAAATTCCAAACCTAGAGAGAGAAAGAGACAGGGAGGGGATGAGAGAGTAAAAATTAGGATGATAAGGGATAATTATGAACCGTTGGATTTAATTCTAATCTGACGGTGATGACCTTGGTTGTAAGGGTGGTAAACTTACCCGATGGTAAGTATAACCGTCCCCCACAAAATTATCTTAAAACGGTTTTAAAAAATTTCCTTTAGAAATAAAAATATTTTTAAAAAATATTAAATATAAAATAACTCAAGTGTTAATTTTTTTAAAAAAAATGAAATGGATTATTGAATTTTAGAGAAAATTTGTCAGGCTACGTAAGGGCGGATTGATAATGTAACTAAACTGGTACAATGAACCTAGACACAATCATTTAGACATGAATTTCAACAGCAATAAAATAATAAACTAATAATAGTGTGTAAGTGTTAATAAGAAAAAACAAAAACAAATCTTAGACTAAGATATGCATGTATAATTTAAGGGAATTAGACTCACGTTAAAATTTTACATAATTTAATTAAAGGAAATTTTCGTGTTTACTAAGATATATTAAATAAGTGGAATCCAATTATCATTAATAATAAAAGAGATAGACAAGACGAGGAAGAATTTATTTACATATTTTTTTTTATAAATTTTTATAAATTATACTATGTAATCTCAAAAAACATAGTATAATCTAATATTTTTCTAAAAATAGATAATGTAATTTAGAGTACATAATTAATTTGTACAACCCTGTCGATCGCAAGAGTATAGCACACATAATTTGACTCGTCCATTCCCATAATTTGACACTCCAAACACACAAGATTATAGCACTACGTGTAACATGGTGTTTGGATACAAGTTGCAGATTCGCCCAAAATCTATAAATATACGATAATTATGCAAATTGCAATTTGACCTCGTTTTTCAGCTTCATTCATTCACTCTTTTGTCTCTTTCTGATTCCTCCATCACAATGGGAATGGAGGCTTCTTCTTCCTCTTCTTCTTCTTGTTGCTCCCGTTTCTGGTCATCGGCGCTCCGATCTAAGCGCCTCGTTACGCCAGCAGAGAAGGCCGCCCGTGACAGCTCCGGCCGGGGCCTCTCCCGCCGTCTCGGCGTCCTCGACCTCGTCCTCCTCGGGGTCGGCGCCTCCATCGGCGCCGGCATCTTCGTCATCACCGGTACCGTCGCCCACGACGCCGGTCCCGGTATGCTTCAATTCATGCAGCTCACGTTGATTATCTGGTCATGCTGTAGCTTATTTATTTAGAAGATTGAAATGAAAGAGTTGTTGTTTTAATCGAAAATTATCATACTTGCAGTTTGTTAAGTTTTTGTCGATTGTTTATTCTTGAATTATTATTGCAAAAATGTGAAAGAAAGCTCTATTAATGTAACCCTAATATTGGAGGTGCTAGTTAACATTGGAATTACTTAGTAGCTTATTCATGGTTTGTTTATGTGATGCAGGAGTAACAATATGTTTTATACTTGCGGGAGCATCATGTGTTATAAATGCACTCTGTTATGCTGAGCTTTCTTCTCGTTTTCCTGCTGTTGTTGGAGGAGCATATTTATATTCATATACAGCTTTTAATGAACTTACAGCTTTTCTTGTTTTTGCGCAATTAATGCTTGACTATCATATTGGGGCAGCTAGCATAGCAAGAAGCCTAGCAGGTTATGTAGTATCGATCCTAGAGCTTTTCCCTGTTTTCAAAGATAGCATTCCGAAATGGATTGGACATGGCCAAAATATTGGAGACGTTCTATCCATCAATGTCTTGGCTCCAGTTCTCTTAATTCTTCTTACCTTAATTCTCTGTTTGGGTGTTCAAGAATCATCAGCTGTGAATTCCTTTATGACAGTGACCAAGGTTCCTTTCCATCGTACCAGTTACCAAGCATTGCATTAATGCTGGGGTTTATGTGAGAACAGAATCAGAAGTTGTTTTTCTGTTTGTTGCAGGTTGTCATTGTTATCGTTGTCATTTTTGCTGGAGCTTTTGAGGTTGATGTTTCCAACTGGTCTCCCTTTGTTCCAAATGGTGCAAAAAGCATATTTACCGGAGCTACCGTAGTATTCTTTGCGTATGTTGGATTTGATGCAGTTGCCAATTCTGCTGAAGAATCTAAGAGGCCACAGGTATATTATGTGGAAGATTGCTCCAATTGTTTATGAATTTGCCGGATGCCACATCTATTATCTCATGTATCTTTTGCGGGTACTATGCCATTAATTATGTTAGAAGAAAATAGTGAATATGTGGATTTAGTTACAGTTACCAACATAGTTATTAATTAACTTCAGGTCATTTTGTAAATGCACTTATACATCTGTATGATCGTGAAACAGAAGCTATCCCACAATAATATATTCATCTGCTGTGGCTAATTAAATGTCATGCTTTCCATTCTAAGTTTTACACTTTTACTCCACTTTCTATTCTTACGAATTAGTTCACCATATTATTCATCTTTCTTATTTCTGATATTTCAGCGGGATTTGCCAGTAGGCATAATGGGAAGCCTCTTAATATGTATTGCATTGTACATTGGAGTATGCTTAGTGATTACTGGAATGGTTCCATACACGCTTCTTGGAGAAGATGCTCCTTTGGCTGAAGCTTTTACATCTAAGGGATTGAAATTTGTTTCTATTCTGATTAGCATTGGTGCTGTTGCTGGACTTACAACAACACTGCTAGTTGGACTCTACGTTCAGGTGAATCACTTCTGAAATCTGAATTATGATGTAATTGATTGATGTGCCTTGTCGCATGTGCTAATGTATATGATGGGATGTTTCTGATGAGCAGTCTCGGTTATATCTTGGGCTTGGCAGGGATGGTTTACTCCCCTCGATATTTGCTAAAGTTCACTCGAAACGCCACACCCCTATTCATTCTCAGGTCTGGGTTGGCATTGTTGCCAGTGTTTTGGCTGGGCTATTGAATGTGCGCATGCTCTCACACATTCTTTCTGTTGGTACGCTGGTAAGAGTTGATTTCTAATTTCATGGTAGAGGTTGTCAACAAAATCTATGCATCTATCTTGTATTACATAGTATGTGTGACATAGGAAAGGTGGTGTCTTGCTCTATGGGTATGCCTCTTTATATTGGATGCAGTACTCTGATAATTTAATGTGTTCAGATGGCCTATTCCGTTTAGGGAATAATACCACCTACTGTACCTTGACAAAAGTATACTTAATAATTGACTAGTGTTTGTAAATATTCTTAGTTAATGCCCCTCACATGATATTTTTTTTCTTATTTCAGACTGGCTATTCAGTTGTCTCAGCATGTGTTGTTGTTCTTCGCTGGAAGGATAAGAGAAATAGTCAAGTATCATCTTCATCCAGGCAGGAAGGTGTAATTTGCCTCATTGCTGTTGCTGTTACTGGATTTGCTGCAGGGCTCTTATTCCGTTATGATGCTTCCCCTATTTTTCTGATTCTGGCTATAGTTATCGCAGCTGGTGCTTCTGCTGCTCTTCTTTTCCGTCAGGTGAGTGTTATTTTATATTTTATTAATTGCTTGTTGCCTAAAGTTGTATCATGACTGTTAAAAAATTCCCATTTTGTTCTTGGACACGGTATAGAATACTAATCAAAGTCAGAAACAGATAGTTTTAATTGAATCTTATCATTAGTAGAAGAGGGAAAGTAAAATGGAATTATTTGTAGCCTTCTTTTCCTGGATCATACAAAAAAGCAGCAAACACAATGTGGGTTGAATGTGTCAAAAACTCCAAACGGAAAAGAAATCTCAAGGTCAACAATTCTGCTATGCTTCTCGCGCTTCATCACATTAAAATTTGTGAAATTCATTAATGTGTTGCATGTTAATCTTCATTTCTCTCATTAATTATATTCTGTACTATCATTTTACTTTTCAGGCTTATGCAGATGCACCAGGATTTTCTTGCCCTTGGGTTCCCGTTCTACCAAGTATATGCATCTTTTTTAACTTGTTCTTATTTGGCCAGGTATGCCCATGATCTCTCCTTTTTGAAAATTTGGCCAAAATAATACTTTTTTTTTAAAAAAGATTAAAGTTGATTATTTATACATCAAAACTGGCAAATAATGATGACTTTCTGTATACAGTTACATCATGAAGCATGGGTGAGATTTGTGATTCTTAGTGTTGTTATGGTTGGTGTTTATGCAATATATGGCCAGTATCATGCTGACCCCAGTGCAGAAGAGAATACCATTTATCACGAGGCACCAGGGGAAGAAGCTCTATGAGTTATCTGTTCAATATTATCAGGTCTAAAAAGAATAAGCATGGCGAATTAAGCGAAAGAAATGGGAAAGCCCAAAGTGAACTGGGAGTATTTAACGTAAAAGGGAAAATGATTGTATTTGATGAAAAAAGAGAATAGCTAAAAATATTATCTTACTTCGATGAGTCAATATTCTGTCTTGTTATATAGGTTGGATAAAAAAATTGTATCATTTACCATTTTAATGTGTGAATATTAAGTTGAAACTTTTGGATGTGTTTAGGCTTATCATTTTGTATATAAAGAAGCTCCATAAAAAAATTCCATGTATAAAGTTTTAATTTTACTATTATATTATTTTATTTATATATTACTTTTTAATAAATTCTGATTAGTTCTCTAAACAATAAAATTTCCATGCATTTTATAATTTTAATTCTATTTTTTTTTGGTGAATAATTTTAATTCTCTTTGTTTCACATGTAAAGTTTAAAATTCATAGTTGATTTCGGATTTAGGAGAATTATAATTGAAATCAGAATCCCGACAGATCAAAATTACAATTTTGAACGTTAATGATAATTGTCAATTTATTCTTATATATTAAATTGGAGTTTAAATTTTATCATTTTTTAACATTTTTAATTTAAATTTGAATTTTTAAAATTGATTTTGCATATATTTTTTTTTAATGTTTTAAATATTTTTCTTTTAATATATGTTTTAAATTTTATTCAAATAAATTATGAATATTTGTTTTATAATTTATTTATTTTAAAAAATCTATTTTTTGGTAAGTAAAAAATCTTTTCTTTTATATTATGGTATTTTATTTAAATTCAGAAGTACTAGTGCAATATATGGAATAATTGTTAAAATGTAATTTTTTTTTTGGATAACTTGTTAAAATGTAATTTAAGTATGGCTTATGACCACATCACCTTTTTATATTTATAGGAAAATGCATTTTTTATTTTGCACTAGATAAATTATCTCATACAATACACAAAATAATAGATATGACACTTTTTTTTTTCTCCTTAGTGAGTTCATACACTTTTTTATGTGTTGCATAGGATAATTTATCTCATACAATATGAAAAAAATATTATCCATATTTATATTAAAAAAATGTTGACAATAACACCCCCCTTTCATACTCACATTGCTATCCTGCAAATTGAAATAAACTTTCTTTAAAAAAAAAAATGATAATTTCTTTCTTCATTTCAGTCAAATAAAAACTTTTCCTTCTATAGGATTTACATGAATCACAAAACAAGAAGAGGCACCTACTTTTTGAAGAATTTGCATAAATTAAAGAAAATTCCACACATTAAATGGCTTGCTGTATCTGAAGAATAACTTTGACACTCATTAAACTTCAGCTTTATAATCCATCACAAATTTCTTTATTTTATAAATATGCTAGTGGAATCTTGCCTTTTCCTTCCAAGCAATACCCAATATGCTAATCTTCTAAGTGTCTGTTTGGAATAAATGGGAAAAAGGGTCTTCCATCTCCCTCCTTTGCCTCACTTTCCCCTTTCTCCTTTCCCATCTCCTCTTACTCAAGTCACCTTCTTTCTATAGTGAAAACTCAAATCTTTCTACTTGCTGAATAAATATTTCATATTACAACATGATTTATGATTCATCTTAAAGAAGAGAGACAGACATACATATATATATCAAGACCAACCTCATCAAGATTTATCAAGGACCATCCCTCCTAAAGCTTAAAATGTTAGGTAATGACACAATTGGTTCTGCCTCCTCCCATAAAACCATAAGTGTAGACCATGCACATGAACACTGTACCACTTGGTCATAGAAGTTTTACTATTATGTCAGAAATTAACTACTAAAAGTTTAAATTGTTAAGTAAATAGACAAAAACTAGGTTTTATAATGAAAAAGTGCCTGATGAGTATTGGGCAATCATATAGCTCGTAATGATTCCATAACTGTTGATGTGTGTGTGCACCAGGGGAGTCAAATGCATAATTAGCCAATTTTGGTAATGTTTCTGTCAGAAACAGGTTTAACTTGCATGGTGAACTGGAAATGCTGCATAGAATGTCATGGAAATAAATATTAACATAAATAATTAACTCTCTCTGTCTAAATATGATTTTAAACTGAAATTTTCAGTTTCCTGTAATCAAGATGATTCAGTAGGTGTAAACGTGTGTGTTGGGCAACTACATAATTAAAAACTGAACAGTTTTTCCAAAACTTTTATCTCTAACAAGTAACAACATTATAAGGAAATCAGCAGTTCAAGAGAGGGACAACTACATGAAACAAAACAGTTAGCTGCACCTGTAAATAATCTAATAAGATGTGTTCAGAAATATTTTTTTTCCACTTGTTTCTAGGATCATTTCAAGAGAGCGAGCTTTGAGTAATGGTAAAATTGCTCCCTTGTGATTAAAAGGTCAAAGGTTTAAATATGGGAAATAACTTCTTTATAAATATGTAAGGATAAGATTACATGCAAGGATTGCTCTCATTTCATTTTTGTTAGTCGGGATTTAATTGAGAGTATTTTTTTATTTTTTTTTGCAGGACCACCTCGTGTCCAGATTCTTACCTAATTATGTTGCAGAAACACAAAAAATACGAATGGTGAATTTTAAACATGAGAAAGAAACAGCAGCACCGAAAGCAATATTCAGAGATATTTTGTTGTATGTAAAAATAATATGTGGAAGATCTGCTGCCACAAAATAACAGAATTTGAACTTCATCGGTTATACAAAAGCATAAAATGAAAACCAAATCTCCTAAAATGAAGAAAGCTCAATGGGACATAAAATTATAAGACCTCTAATGAACTTCATATCCATCCTTGTAGAAACTATTGGAGTACAACAGTTTACAAATCACCCAATATTGTTTCCAATGATCTTCTGCCCTTTTGATCTTTCAATCGATCCCATTTTTTGAAGCCTAATCTGTGCTTTGAACTTGGCTATAAATTCACTAGCTTTTTTATCCACCTCAGAATCCAGTCCTGAATCATTGACACATTCAGACACCCTATCTTCTTCATCTGAGCTCACCTGAATATTCTCAAGCTCGATATTGGAGTCTTCTGTAGACACATTCTTGGATGGTTCTAGTTTATCTCCTTTACAATAACTGGAAAATGTAACCTCAGGCTTGGGACAATAAGAATCCAGAGTTTTCTTACTGATTCCTTTCAATAGACGATCTGTTTCTCCACTTTTCATTTTATCTTTTCTCAATACTGATTCAACATTATTAGGCTTCTTTTCAACCTTTTCATCAATTTGCTTGATAGATATTTCTCCTATCCTCATTGTAATTGAAGTCGGTCCACTGGATCTTCTTGTTCTAACTGATTTTCCCCTTGATGGAGCTTTTGCTAGGCTTGCAGGCTTTTCTGAGTCTGACTGCAAAGCATGCATCCCTGACTCTTTGTTGTCTGGTGGATCCTCACCTCCAATACCATTTAAACCCCTCAAGTCATCATTCAGACTACTCCTTATGTCATCCTGGAGCACGGAACCATTATTATATCCACAAGCTTGAAAAGGTTGCAACGAAGTTTCCCCATTCCTTCTAGCCGGAGGTGATGGTGAACTTGAAGAAAAAGATCCACGCGAGCTCTTCTTTTCCCCTGAATCTTCCTTCAGAGAGTTCAAATTTTCTGATTTAACAGAGTCTACAGAAGAACATAAACTCGTCTGAGATGAGAAAGATCGCATAGACTGGAAAGACCGTGAACTGAGAGATTCAAATTGAGTTTCGTCAACTGACATTGGCCTGAAATGTGAAGGATGAGAAACGGCAGCATATTTTCCTTTAGTTTCCATCCTTCTATTTCTAGAAGAAGACACCTGGGAAATCTTCTTTTGCAGATCCACCTCTTGGAAATTCTTACTTTCTGAAGCAGGCACATAGGAAGTCTTCTTTTGTTCCATATCTTCATCTTGGAAATTCACATTTTCTGAAGCATGCACATAGGAAATCTCCTTGTGTCCCATATCTTGCTCCTGGAAATTCATATTTTCTGAAGTATGAACATGCGAAGTGTTCTTTTGTCCCATATCTTCCTCTTGGAAGTTCATATTATCTGATGGAATCGAATCCAAGGAAGAATACATTCTCGTGTGGGAAGAGAAAGATCCCATAGACTGGAAAGACTGCGAACCAAGTGATTCAAATTGAGTTTCATCAACTGACATTGGCCTGAAATGTGAAGGAAGAGACACAGCAGCATATTTTCCTCTAGTTGCCATCCTTCTATTTCTTGAAGAAGATCCCTGAGAAACCTTCTTTCCCAAATCTATCCCTTGGAAATTTGCATTTTCAGAAGCAGGCACATAGGAAGTCTTCCTTTGTCCCATATCTTCGTCTTGGAAATTCATATTTTCTGAAGCAGGCACATAGGAAGTCATCTTTTGTCCCATATCTTCCTCTTGGAAATTCATCTTTTCCGGAGTAGGCAGATAGGAAGTCATCTTTTGTCCCATATCTTCCTCTTGGAAATTCATCTTTTCCGGAGTAGGCACATAGGAAGTCATCTTTTGTCCCATATCTTCCTCTTGGAAATTCATCTTTTCTGGAGTAGGCACATAGGAAGCTTCCTTTTGTCTCATTTCTACCTCTTGAAAGTTCATATAATCTGATGAATTTGAATCCAAGGAAGAATACATACTGGGGTGGGAAGAGAAAGATGTTGTAGACTGTAAAGACCTTGAACCAAGTGCTTCAAATTTAGTTTCATCAACTGAGAGAGGCCTAAAATGTGAAGGATGGGTAACATTGCCATGTCTTCTCTCCCTTTCCATACTTCTAGACCTTGCATGCCATGGAATCGGGGAAGCTGATCCACCAACAGCAGCGGCATCATTAAATTTTTTCTCCAAATTGGAAGGACCCAGATCCCGAAATTCCCTATCTCTGTTCTTACCTGAGCTCTTAGATGAACCCCTTGAACCAGAACTAGAATCGCTATCATTGATATATTTAGGACTATCTACTTCTCTTGAAAACGACCTTAAACTGCGAACCGGTAGTCCTAGAGGTTTATAACCAACAACCTCACCACATTCACCAGTGGTGTAGTATGGTTGAGCAACAACAACCACAGGCTCGCTATGATAGTACTCAGAATTCCAAGCTTGAACCATATTGGTTCCATCACATCTAACAGAATAACCAAAATTATCTTCAGAAATGGGCAATTGGGTTTTGTACTGTTCATCAAAAACACCAACAGTACCCCCATTGGAGCACACAGCCCCTGGCTCCCCATCAAAGTATTGAGGATTCCAACAATGCATCATCCTCTTCTCATCAAACCCAGATGGATTTTCACACCCATCACCAAAAATCGTGGAAGAAGGAAACATTTTGGACACATAACTAGGTGTACTATCAGCACTAGAGTGAGTTTCTACGTGTGTTTCTAGTTCTGCATTTCTTCTACTAAACAGACCATAGGCCACAGCAATGCCAATGAAGAGAAGGTGGAGAAGCTCCCAGAACTTAGGGAGTATGGTTTGGCTCACAAAGTCTGGAGCTTGTGAAGGAAACAGTGGAATAGCAATGATAAATAGAGCCAAGAAGAGATATTTGAAGAGGAAACCTGAGCAAGACTTACCTTGGTTGATGGGTTTTGGTTGGATCCGTGAGCTGAACTCAGAAAATGGTAAATGGGGTTTGGTGTAAGTACCAGAATCCGCCATTGATGAACTGGGTTAGTCTCCTCCTCAGTGGTGTGGTTGGGTTTTGTTTGAGATGGGGAAAGAAGAAAAGAAGACTTTGAGGACAAGGAATGGAAAAGTACATCTAGGAAACAGCAACAAACATGGGAAGGCAAAACAAGATTAAGGTAATTGCCCAAAATAAGTGGGGCAGAATTCAAAGGTGTCATTATCAATCATTACTTTTTTTTTTTTTTACTTGAATGACATAATTACCCTTTTTTGTGTTTGAGTTGTACCATCTATGGAAATGTTATCTTAGGTTTTAGAAATGTTGGGCCATTACAAGCCCAACCCAATACATTGTGCTTGAATGAGTAAAGTGATGGAGAAAAGAATCCCTATGGCTACCACAATGTCTCAGAACCTTATCTTTGCACTTAGCAGTTGGCACTCCTATTAATAAATTGTGACATTATGTTCAAGGACTTTTGGAGAATAAGAAATTAGGTGATAAGTGGACATCTATTTGGTGTTGGATATCATGCCATAACAGTTATGGCACGTAACAATTTCAAGCCGGATGACTGTGTTCATCAAGATTACATGTAAATGCTTTTATAAATAATGGTTTTAGATTAGAGAGAGATTGTTATAACTAGGTCAAGGAATGCTGCATCTATCAACACTGATTTTGAGACCAGTTAAAGTAATGTCTTACCGAACAAACATGTCAGGTAGCAACAGTGGCAACCAAACATTATTGCCAAGCCCAAAAACCTACCAAATGGGAACGCTGTCACCGTCGTAGCTACTCCCCTTTCCCAAGTTAGAAAGTAATATGGACACAAAATAAAATAAAATAAAATAAAAAAATAAATAAAATAAAAACTATTTAAACGGTGTACCGAATTTTGTACATCCTTGGTATTTAAAAAAAGGGAAAGATATTCTGACAACCAAGTGACTACCAATCAATCTCACCGTTAGATCGATTATGTTGATCCAACGGTTATATTTATTTCCATCTTTGTATGGTCATGATTCTTCATATTTAAAGTGAAAGCATTAAATATGAAAAATCATGACCATACAAAGGTGAAAATAAATATAATGTATTAAATTTGGAGAATCATGACCATACAAAGATGGAAATAAATATAACCGTTAGATCAATATAATCGATCTAACGGTAAGATTGATTGGTAGTCACTTGATAGTAACAGGACTTGGTTGTCACAATATCCTTCTCCTTTAAAAAATTTCCCAACTTTAGGCCTCAGAACTTAGGGATATAGAAACATGTTAACGAAAGACTAAAAATTTTGATGATCTAATTATATGCTTAAATAATAAAATAATTAGATTAAATTTGAAATAAGATAGGATTATAAATTCCTCGTGCCATTGTTATGTTCCATTCCGAATATTGGTTTTTAGGTGCCAAAAATATTTTTAATATTATGGATATATCAATCACTCAGTATATCCTTACCAAATATAAAAATAAAAATAAAAATTTAGACCACTCCTATTTTTATAATTACTTCCTTCCATGTTTTTTTTCTCCTTTTTTAGTAACAGAGTACCTACTCTCGTCGCTTAGATGGTGTATATGTAATTCGATAGAAACATTTAAATTATAACACACATTCCTTAAATAACTTCTGCTATCATGGATATGGTTATGGAATATGATGGACCAATTTTTTACTTATATTCTATAACTACCTTGTAAAGCAATCAATTTAACCTAACAACTTAAGTCGGTAAGTAAATACCTTATTAAATAGTTTTTATATTTCTCTAGCATATCCTCTCATGTAAAATCCATTAAATTTGAAGAGTGAATAATACACCTGGCCTGTATTAAAATTAATAAATTTCACAATATGTAATTATTTAATTATTAAAATAGAGTGTGAAGATTGAATTTATGATCTCATGATAACATTGACTTTGATATCGCGGTAAAATGCTATTTTAACCTAACAATGTAACTCTCTACAATTGAAGATAAAAGCAGACTTTTATCTTCACTAACTATCTAGAGAAAAAAAAATCTAACAGAAAAGCAATTTAGAGTGACTGATTGGAACTTTCTTGTTGTTGCTCGAACCTGCTGAATTAATCATTGTAATAAAGCTGCAATTTAGAGTGACAACTTCATGTTTAATTTACAATATGTTTGTTTGAGATTCTACCCATCTTAAAATGGCGTTCAGTATAATTCACATAATTGTGATCTAAATAGGCATATATCCGAAGATGCATAGAAGCAAATAAATCTTCCTTTTTCTTAAATTTAGTTCGTGTTAAGGAAAATTTTAAATAAATAAGCACTTAATTTTTGGTAAAAGCAGACAAGCGACTCAGAGAATTAAGGAAATATTTTGCTGAATGTATCGTAAAAAATGGTACACAACACACGGTTGCGTTAAAATGAATCTAAAACAAACAATCTATTAATTGCTTTTAAGTTGTTGAATTAGTTATTATAATGGGATTGATGTCAGATGTGCATTAGTGCATATGCATTTGAATGGTGTCTATTTACAGATAAATAGACAAAGTGTATTCCTACATATATAACACTACTTTTATTTCACTAAGGTAATTAATAATTATACCATATTAGCAACCCACAAACCAAAGAGATCCCTTTTCTCTACAAACCAAAATTCTTAAACTTCTCCCATTATCACATTATTTTCCTATCAGCCTTCCTGCGCCAAAAAGATCCCATTGGATCAAATTTTTTTTTTTTTTCAAGTATAGCACATAAAGACAATTTCAGTATACACTTGACCAACACAATTAGCATCACCCCAAGTATGTAAAAAGCAAAAAACAAAAGAAAAACAAGAGAGGGAACTCCGTCAATGTGATGTACCTAGCATGACCATTTCAGAATGAACTTAAAGTTGATCAAATTTTTAGAATCAGCGTTTTGAGCAAGGCTCATGTTTTACAACAAACACCTTTATTTCTTTGGATTTTCGAGATAATTTTCATGAATTTTTTTTTTATATTTAATTGTTATTTTTTATTTCTGTAAGGAAAATTTTGTAATATTAATTATTTAATTTTTCGTTGCATATTTAAAAGCATTATGATCCCTAATTTATTTGATTATTTTTTATTTAATAAAAATACTAATGACAGCCGCAAGTATTTCAAATCCTAATTTGTACTATTAATTTTTTTTTAATTCGTCTCAAAGAAATAATTAAAGTTGTTTAACAAAAATGCAGTTAGTAGTATTTACAAAAAAAAAAAAAAATGCAGTTAGTAGTAATTCAAATCATAATTCGTACTATTAATTAACGGTTCTTTTTTATTTTTTTAACAGTCACATACCCTTCTTTGCGACCCTGCTAAATGAATATCCAATTTTAAAACAGAATCAAGCACCAAATTATAAAAGCAACCTAAGTCCCACAGTCTGACTCATAATATCCAATTTTCTAGTATGCATGCATAGATCCCAAAGGAAAAAAAACAATGAGAATTAGAACAAAATATTATTGATTTTTATTTACATTTGCAGTGCTCTAATAAGCAAAGATAGGCCAAACATTTTTTAATTGAGAGATCAAATTATGTTAAAACCATCTTCCCCTGTCCCTCCCTCTAATCTGCACAAAGTGGCATCAAAATCTAATGAGAACATCACATATACTTCGGAATATTCTCTTTCTCATCTTTTTGAAGTCTAAACTAATAAAAGCTTGTACTATTCATCTATTCATCATATCAAACCATACCCCACTGGTAACATATCCCACCCTATACAGATTTTAAAGTTGACTAAAACGTATACCAGACACAATAGAACAATCCTTCACTGAAGAGTTATCCTAAGTCATATCCTTGAGTTCTAATAAACCACAAATAAGTATTTCATTGCAATTAATTATTTCCCCTTTTTTTCTCTTTCTCCTTCACATTTGATTTGATGCATTTCTATCTAGCAACTAAAATGTCATTGACACCATTCTGAACATCACATTGCAAGGGCCAATTATGGCTTAGGAATTGAGCCTTCAAATGGCCAAGGGTTCACAGGCACTGGCTGCCGAATGTTCAGACCCAAGAGGTTACCATTACTTGGTGCAACCACCGAGTGAAGAGTGGCAGAAGAAGAAGATGATGATGATGATGCAGATGAGACAGTGACACGTTCACATGAAGGGCACATTGTAAGAGTGGTGGGAGGTTTCATACGCATGTACATTTGAGGGGATAATTTCAATCCCCTTAGCTCTTGAACTTCCTTTTGCAACCTCCTATTCTCTTCAGTTAGATTCTCACAACATCTCTTCAAGTATTCATAATCCACTTCAGTCTGTTTCGACTTGGTCCTACATTAATTGAAACAAAATCATTGGAATTCACTTCCTAGCTAGTACCATGAAACAATTAATGTCCATGGAGCTTGACATAAATCGCAAAAATAACAACAGAAACCACATATTTTGTACCATTTGCCACAACATTTTTAGCAGTTTCTCATGAAAAATGAACAAATGCAAAATCTAAATATCAAACTTTGACTTCTAAATTTGTTACTACTGTTATTTCATTATTGTGCCCCTATTGATGAGTGTGTGTGTCCACGTGTCTCATACGTAATTTTTATTATTATTATTTATGTTACGTAAGCATCAATAAATTGTGTCATTGATGCTCATTCTCAACGGAGGGGCAGTCAAACCCATTATTCATATTGGAGTTATGCTTAAAGTTGCTATGATTAATGCATTTAACAGTTACAATAATAATTAACGTTGACGAGGAATAACGCAACCATTAAAGATATATACATCTCATTCAAAATTTAACATTGAAATTTGTGAAACAAAAAATAACAGGTTTTCTTTTTACAAATAATGTAACTTTCAAACTATTCAATAATATAATATATTTTCAAATAGTTTATAAAAAGTTAACACCTTTCCAATCATATTACTTTTTATGTTTGTTGTTTAATGCACATCAATTATAGGCTTCAACATAATAGAAATCACGTATCAATTAGAGAAACATAAGGTCAACAAATAATTTAATTGTATTTAATTTCAATAAAAATAATAATAATTATAGACCTCACCTCGCTCTTCTGTTCTGAAACCACACCTCTACTTGTCTAGGTCTCAGATTCAACTCCTTTGCCAATGCTTGCTTTCGTTTCTATTATTGAAAAATTAATTTAAAATAAATAAATTAGCAGTGTGGAATGACATAAATACCCTTACGCATGCAATGAACTTACGCAAGTGCCACCGACTCACCGGATTCAGCGTGTTATGCTCCTTGAACGTTTCTTCCAGCACCGTGGACTGTTCCTTCGTCAGCCTCAGCTTCTTCCTACCGGCGTCACCGCCGCCGTCCTCTTCTTCAATCCCCGGCGAACACGACATCCTCTCCGCTGCAGGGGCGGCATTGTCGTCGTCTCTCTCGCTCCGCTTGCCGCCACTGATGCTCGATATCGTGCTGTTCGGTGAGGAAACACCGTTGTCGTCGTCACAATCCGCCGCCGTATACGGCGGCGCTGAATTCACGTCGGTTCCTCGGAGGAACGACCCCATCTCGGAGCTCCGATCTGCTACATGCAGTTGCATGCGAGTTTCAACAGTCAGCTTAGTCAGGGAGTGGCAGTTTGTGTAATTAACAAGGATGGCGAAGGGCATTTATGTACTTGGATTAAGGAATGAAATGTGAGCGTGGAAAATTATTTAATATTTCGTGAAAATTACCATTTTTTTTATCTCCTTGGGAATAATAAAAATGATGAATTTATATAAACAATTGATTAAATATGAATATAAGAGAGGCAGGATCAGGATTTGGTTATTGATTGCATGGTTTACATAAAAAAAGAAAACAAAGGTTGCAACTTTCAAAGGAAAAAGGATAAATATGGCTTTAATATGAAAGAAAAATAAAGAGTAAATAAAAAAATGTTCATTTTTTTTTAAATTTTAAATGGAGATTGAAGAGTTATTTTAAAGAAAAATTGGAGATAAAGGGAAAGATTTGGTAAGAATCTAAAGAGCAAAGATTGAAGGAATGAATTGAGAGTGAAGAGATATGCTAAGAAAAATTGGTGAGAAAAAAATTGATTGAAGGAACAGGAACCTCGTACCAGATAACTGAAACAAATAATTCGAGGAACTCCTATCTTGATTCATAGGAACACGTTGTCGGGGCTTCTGCATGTGATTGACTCCACATCCTCCCAAGGTCAAACTCAAACTCAACCCCAACCCCAACACATCATCTTTCTCACCCATTTTGATCTCTTTTCTTCTTTCTGAGAAGAATCACCAATGCGTGTGTCTCTCTCTCTCTCTGATTTGGGAAAGAGCAAAATGGAAGGAAATGAGTGGTCTTTGGTGGATGTGGATTACACACCCTTTGGCTTTTTTGCAGTGTAGAAAAACTGATGGATGGAACTATATATAGATTACATTGAGAAAAAGAGTGAACTCATAGAGTTATTTATGACTTGGGTCAGAGTGACAAATTGGCTCAATCATCACTTATATGGCTATTCTAGGTTTTTTTATTATTTTCTAAAGATTATGGGCTAATATATGCTTTTAGATTCTTGAAGTCCAAGATTGGTTACATTTTAACCATGGTTAGTTTTATGGGTGTGTTAGAGATTAGATAGCAAGTAACTGATGACACAGATTTTAATTAGCTTTAACTAGTTTCTGTTGATAAAAACAGCTGCTTTTTCGCACTAAGAATGTTGACCAGAAATAGCAGGAGTTTGAGGAGGTGCATTTGTTTCACATGGCGTGCTGGAATCATCATCATCATCATCTCATCAATGTGATAATGAGTGATTAGCGGGTTTAAACTATGATTTAAGGCCAAAAAATAATCATTTTTATGTTAAGTTTACCAATGCTATATTGAATTGAAAAGAAATTTAAATTCTTAATTCTGAACACGTTCTGAACTCGGTATTAGTTTCATAGTTGATTTAAAAAGTTTAAAATTTTAATTTTGAATATACTCCAAACTCGAAATTAGCTTCATGACTAAGTTAAAGAGTCAAGATCATGAAAATATTAAGAAAATTATATTCTCTTCAAAAAAAAATAATTAGAGTTGATATAAAAAAAACTATTATCGAAATTAAGCACGCAAACTAATTTGAAAATAAAATTTTGCATTCAAAAAAAATTATTTGTATGCCAAAATCAAATTTATAATATCAATTTTACAAATTACAATATAAGTAAGGACACAATGATAGTTGAGAGATTCGTCAGGGCTATGCAAAGGTGGGTCTCGTACCTGATTTTGCGAGGGTGTGGGGCCCGTTTGACATGAATTTTCAGTGGCATGCAGCCCCAATCACAAGGCGAAAGAGCAGTGGTGTGGCGCGTGAAGATCATTCGAGCGTGGGGTTGATTGTCAGGGAGCAGAGTGAATGATGATAGGTTACAACTTAGGGTAAACTGGTAATTTCAATGGATTTTTTTTTTTTTTTTTGTTTAAAGAATACTTCTTCCCATGCCTATTTCCTTTTGTTTTCAAAGATTTATTAATTATTAATTAAATTAAATCAACTTTTCTGAATAAGAATTTTTAGAAAACTTAAAATAATCCTTCTTTCCAAAAAAATAAAATAAAATCATTTTAAAGTGTATGGTTAAATGTACACATCAATAACTTTTTTAGCCGATTTTACTTTTTAATTTAACTAGTTTTAAGTTAAATAAGTTGTTATACTTTTCGGAAATTTTAAATAAAATTATTTGAATACACTGTTAATTAAAAAATATTTCAAACCTGTGTATGACACTATATATAAATTTTATTAAATTCATTAAATAATAGTGTATTAAATTTAAACTTTTTAAAATAAATCTGCATAATCTAAATTTTATATTTTAATGTCTATAACGTCAATCCAATTTTATTTTATAGAAAAATAAATGGGAACTTATAGGTAATTTAACCAATTTAGTGTTTTTATAATAATCATTCTTAATGAATTAGTGATGAAAGATCAAGTATTGCATATATTAGCCTCTACCCTTTGTATCTAAGAATTTCTCCACCTAGTCTATTTTTTTTTTTTAAGTACAGATTTTTATTTTTATTTTTTTGGGTACACTGCCTTAATATCTAAAATCCAAACTGATAAATGTTTCACAATTCATGTCAATATAAAAAAAGAAGAAGAAGTAATGATTTCTGTAACTCCTTTTTATTAAATGTTGTTGAAAATGAAAACATGTCTACACAGTTGCCGGTAGCGATCACAATTCAATGCTGGTTTTGACTGTCCCATGGTAAACATTCTCAATTTTCCAAGATGTTGAAGCTTTCTGTTATCAATGAATTTAAATTCAAAGAAACCAAACGGACTTCAAGTCAAAATTTCAAAACCAACACTCAACCCAGTTAATTGTCATAATTAATCATATTATACCTATGATTAATATACTGGAAGGCACCGTTTTAATTGTTTGATTTCAGTCATTAGAAACTATATTTCATAAATAGGGAGTGATCATAACGATCGACTTGATTCATTACGAATGTAACATGCAAAAGACTTGCATTAATATTTCAGTTACCCCTTAGGATATATATACTGAAACAAATGGGACGTTGTTTGAAAAATATTATGCATACTTTTAGAGAGGGAAAAAGATATAATAACTACATAAAAAAAATTATACTTTATGTAAATTAAAATTAAAAAAATTATAATACGTTTTCATGCAGAATCTAAAATTTAATTTAACACTGATCATTTTTATGATGTGAAAGAATGTTATGTAGTATTACAGAAATGGTTTGTCAGGGCCTTTATCCTGACCTGCGTTAGCTTGATCATTAAAAGACTTATACTAAATTTTTTAATATACAAATACTTTTTTTTTTACATATATTAAATATAAATTTAAATTAATTCATTAAAGTATAATAAATGTGAGTGCAAATAATTTTATAAAACACATTTAAATATAAATTTGAGTTTTAAATATCAGAATAAATTGAATATCAATTATATATATATATATATATATAATGTAAGAATGAAAATGAAGTTTGATATTTTAACTATAATGAAAAAATTAAATAAATATAGATATTATGTAAATTTCTTTGATAGACTATTATTCTTATTATTTTATATACATGAGTGTATGTCCATGTGTACAAATTTTTTATTTACATTAAATTAAATCAAAATTTAATTTTATAATAAAAAATGGATACAATTTGATTCAATTGATTGTTTTTATTTCTAACAACGTAAATAAATTGTCAATATTTTGAATTATGGTTTCAACTATACAAAGTAATCATAACTTATAACTTGTTAAGTGCAATATGTTATTTTTGAAGACTTTATAGGTTTGATAAACTAGACTTATACTTACATTTTTTTAAAATAATCTAGGCCAAACTTGTATCATACTAATAAGTTGAGTGAAACTTAAAATATTCTATATAAACTTAGAGTTTTATAAAAGTTATGTTGTAGGAAAAATGATTATGTAATGTTATAGAGATTCGTTTTGCGTGCCGTAATTTCTTTTTTTTTTCTTTAAAAAGTGTAGATCCCACAAAATGTTGTATGTGTAAAAAAATTTGTTGTGTCATGTTAAATGATAAATATAAATCCCATAAACCTATCCTATTTAAGCTAAAATCTGAGTTATTTACACCTTGACTACAGTGTTAAATATTGGTTCCACATCACGAGAAAAGCTATACTTCCATTGATAGTGATACATATAACAATTTAAAAATTTTATTCCGTATAAATTTTTTGAGTTTCACTGTCATATATACTGTTGTAGTTAAAAACTTTTACAATCTTATATATAGATGTGTAACCACATCATATAAAAAGTTTGATAATATACAAAAAGGAATGGATTCGTTTACAATTTTTTTTTACAAATTATACTAAATATGACTAGTTATACACTCTTGATTGAAGTATGACCGGTCAGACATAATGTAGTTTGTAAACAAAAAAATTTGTAAATACAACATTTCCCTATATAAAATATTAAATTTATCAAAAGATAATACATTAAAATTAATTTTTAATAATTTTTTTAAAAAATACAAAGTATTTTTCATTTGTGCTTAAATTTATTGTGTAAAAATTATAAAATTACAACTTAATTTCCTATTAAATAAATAGTAAATATTATTTTATTAATAAATTTTAAAAGAGATTTATCCACAGAGTAGTGAGACCTTTTTATATGAAGTTTAATTTTTTTTTGAAAAACAATAGAGTAATTGCCAGAAGTTGCAGATAACGAAAGGGAGAGGAAAAAATAAGTATCACCCTCTGGCAATACAAAATAAACTATGTAGATTGAAATTAAATAGCATGCTAAGCAGCATGAGAATCGACACTTTGTAAAGATCTATATATAAAAGATTTGGAGGGTGAGACTTGAGAGTGTGAGGACCCAAGAGAAAACAACATAAAGATATTGCAAAACCCCAAATCATTGTCGGTTCATCATACATGATGTGATTGTCAACCAGCCCTAATTGGACTATATAAATAATTGTATTCAACCGTATCAATATTTTGAGAGAAATATTGGTAAAAGTGATACAGATCAAGATTCTTGTCATATAGGAACAAAAAATAACGGAAATATATATATGCAAATAAAGATTTTTTCTCTATATACTTACAGACTGTGTGTCCATTTGCTAGGTCCACGGTTCCTAAACAATATTCATTTTTAGCTTTAAATATTTAGAAAGGAAACACACTTTACCTTTTATAAAAAAAAATAAATCAATTTTAATCATTATTATAAAATGCAGGTTGATGGATGAAAGGTCAATAGTTCAAATTCGATCCAATTTTACAATCTAAAAAATAATTTTTTTTTATAAAATTGGTACTTTATTTTTTTCAATTGATAGAAAACTTTTTTTTAAACTCTGTTTATCCGAAAAGCCATTAATCCGTTAGAAATTTAAATTATCGAGCTTATGATTTGATCAATATAATAACCTCATAAGAAAAGTTGAAGAAAAAGAAATAAAGTCACATTTGGTGAAAAATGCGTTAAAATGACAGTTGAAAGATAAAAATACGGATAAATAAAGTTACCCTAAAGTGAAAAGTAAAATTATAAATATTATCATAAAAATATTCTGAACTAGTGTACAAAGTTGAAATGAGAGTTAAGTGAGCAGAGTAGATAAGTATGTACACACACGGTGAATACAAGTCACTTAAGTACCAAAACCCACCTTATTTCTCCTTCTCCTT